CTATGGTATTATATAATAACGTTTTTATGAAGGTGTCACATGATGCTGGTGCGCTTTCCATCTTTCCTATAGTGTATTTAAATATCAATAATGTATATAACTCATGACGACCAATCAGATTTCAGTTTGCAGCTAAGTGAAAGGTAAAATGTAGTCTTCTGAAGGCTTATGCACTTAATTTGTATATTTCTGCAAAAACACATCACTGAACTGACCTTCTTACACCTCCTAAAGTTCTTCACGTCCCGGGTTAATTCACCATATAAAACTTATTTCAAAGAACATTCTGTCAGCAATAAATGTAAAAAAAAAAATGCCAGTCTAATTGTACAAAATACAGTGTGCTGGCAGAGCAGACAACATCCTACAGAGCCCGGCAGACCTTTATATATTTGGAACATTTCAAGCAGATAAAACTGGGACGTATTGATCTCGGCAGTGAAAAGTATTTACTGACAAAGGATTTTTCATTATGAAAGGTAATAGAAAAATTCTGTTTATTTATTTATATATTTTTTTCCTGCCTCATTCCGAGCCCCAAAAGAGTGAAACCAAACAAAAGGGAGAGTTTGATGGACATTTGCCCTTTAAACTTCATCTAACGGTTTGCTGGTTCAAGCAGAACACAAATATTAACTGATTTGTAGCCTCGGGGGGGGGGAAACAGGGATTGGCTGTAAAATATTCTGCCATTTATTGTATTGTAATTATGTTGAAATTGTATGAAATGTTTTGGGAATATGAGTTTGCTGTTTATTGAATGAATATGTAAATTAAAAATATAAATCATTTCAGATTTTATGGGGGATCTCTTGCTATCCTGCTGCTGTTAGGTGGAAGGAGCTGGGTGTTTATTGTTTCAGTGGCAGTAGTTTCATGGTTAAATGGTCAGTATACCTTCACCATACACTCCTGTGGTAACGTACCCGATCCCAGATCCTGCAAGCCCAACTTTGAAATTCTCTTATGTGGTCCCTCTTGGCCTGGTAAATAAAAAAGCATTTTGTTATATTTGAAAACTTTCATTTATAACAGGTATTTATATAGTGCCAACAATTTACACAGCACTTTAAGCACAGTGCAGTCACATGAGTCTCTGCCCCAGTGGCGTCACAAGGGGGGCACGGGGGGTGCGGCCCGCACCCGGGTGTCACCATTGGAGGGGTGACACCAAAATGATTCACAGTTATTTTGGTGTCACCCCTCTCTAAAAAGTCGGCCACTCAGTCATGGACCGAGAGCCCGACAGTGTCAGGAGAGGGTGAACGTCTCTCCTCTCTCTGCCGACGTCCAGAACTAAGATGGCCGCCGTCAGGCATCAATCAATTGGTCGTGAATGCGCAAAGACGTCATCGTGCATGCGCGTGGTCACCCAGCCTCGGGATGCCCCTGCCCTGCCCTCAAGAAACTTACAATCTAAGGTCCCTATCTCACATGCATACTTACACACTAGGGCCAATTAACCTACAACCATGTCTTTGGAGTATGGGGAAACCAGAGCTCCCGGTATAAACCCACAAAAACACAGGGAGAACATGCAAATAGTGCCCTGGCCAGGATTCAAACCGTGGACCTCAGTGTTGCAAGGCAGAAGTGCTAACTACTAAGCCACTGTGCTGCCCAATATATAGGGCAGGGCAGGGAACGGGGATCCTGTGAAACACTGTAATAGCTGCATCTACTACACTGTCTTACAGTCATCTGCTGAGTCCAGGAACAGCCACTGTGGTGAGTTACTTCCCTTCTGCTCTGAAAACACAGGGGGGTTGCTCGTTTGGCACAGTGGCCATTCAGTGAATGCCTAGTATTTTTTTAACAATTAATACTAGCCATTATCTGATTGGACAGAGGGCAGTGCCATGACTTTGCTCCTCATCCAATCAGAGAACACCTAGTATTAATTATTAAAAATACTAGGCGTTCTCTGAATGGTCGCTCTGCAGAGCAATCGACCCCCTGTGTTTTAAGAGCAGAGGGGAAGTCACTCACCACAGCAGCTGTTCCTGGACCTGGAAGATGGCTGTAAGACACTGTAGTAGCTGCGGCCACTACAGGGTATTACATGATTTCCATGGCCCTTCCAGGGTTCATTAATACATAACTTACAATGTGCTATACTGGATCAATGTAAGTACTGTATACATACATTTCTGTAGCTGGTGTTCAGCTTAAAAAATTGGTTTTGAACAGGTAACTTGCCAACCTGTAACCTCCTGTGCTCTCTGCCTCTGCTGCATTTTTATCTGTTACATTGTTATCAATATTTGAGGACTACGGAACCCCTATACTCTATGTTATGGAAAATAAGGGGGTGTTACTGTAGTCTTGTTCAGTTTCTGTTGTCCTTAGGCTTATACTGTTTGGTGAGTGAGCATTGCCAATCTTGTACAGGAAGTGTGGTGTTATTTGCAGGATCACCAGGTGAAAATAAAAATGTAAAAAAACAATACAAAAATTAGGCGGAGGGCTTACATGGCCAGGTGAATAAGAGAGACAATGAACTAAGGGGAAAATAGGGGTTTTGACATTAAGGCAGTGGTCCTGCCCACCCACCCAAGGCAGTGGTCCTGCCCACCCACCCTGTTTGATTTGTTAGTTGTTGTCATTTAAGTGTCATAGCAGTGTTGGCGGTGTGGGGTCTTTGAAGGAGGCCAAAATAAGTGCTGGTGGGTAATGTTTGGGGACCTGTCTTGGTACCATGTCTTGGTATGGTGTCCTCAATTAATTGTAATGGACAGGAAATTTAGATATTGATGTGTCTGTGGTCTATTTAATATTGTGGCCTTCAAATACCTTCTTATGTTGAATTTATAATTGTATTAATTGTATAATAAAAGGTTCCTATGGCCATTTAACTCGATTGGAAGTGTGGTCTGGTTTGTTTGGGGGGAGTTGGAGGGAGGTTTGGGTGGTCATAGCAGTCTTGAAGGGACATCTGTTCTACCTTAGTCATGTGTATGATCATTTGATCAAAGGAAACCTTCATAGAGGGTATTTCAAAGTTTGCATTTTCTGATCAAATTCTGAAAAAAGTCTAAAGATTTGCAAAATTGAAATTACTATGAGGAAGTAAGAACATTTTTTCACATCCGCTTGGGCCCCCCTTGAGTCTGGAGCATGGGGCAGCTTCCCATTTTGCTTTTTATTATAATCCATTATAGGCAGTACTGCATCACAACTAAGAGAAGATATGTAGCAATAATGTATCCAGGGGGAAGGAGTTCTATTTATTGTAGATGATGCATCCTTCCTCCCAGCCACTGGTTTGAAGATGCGTTATCTGTAGTTCCACCTCCTTTGATCCTCATTTTCTGCTTTCATAGCTGTCATTTCTAGAATACCATTTCTGTGGGGAAATGTTAATTCATAAAACCGGTTCAATGTGCTTAAATATTTGCAGTTTTAGGCTTTTTTGCATCATACTGTATATTTTTATGTTGTAGCTAGAGATATGCAACGTGTTATGTTTGCAATAATGAATTGTTTTATCTAAACCCGAGAACAGAAATGTAATATATTGCATCTAGCCAGTTCTTAGATATGATAGCTGCATTAGTTTTTTTTTTTTTTTTAAGGCTTTATTTTAAGCTGGTGATCCTGCCATGACACATTTCCTGTCTTTAGGGTGACAACACTCATTGTACTATATATGTAAAGAAGCAGACTTGTCACTCTACCATAGGAAGTGTGCTAAGGATACAGGACACTTCCCCCTCTACTCATCTCCATTAGGGAGGTGGGGGTTCTATAGAGGTAAGCAGAGGAGCAGGAGGATAAGACATGTTGAGATAACATTGCAGAATGCACAGGACACAAGAGAGCTCTGAATTTCTGACAAGATCAACAGGTATTTTTTACACATTATTATTACACAGGATTTATATAGCGCTAACAGTTTGCACAGCACTTTACAAAATGGAGGGAGACAGTACAGTTACAATACAATTTCAGTACAATAGGGTTAGGAGGGCCCTGCTCGTGACAACTTACAATCTAGTAAGAGGGGTAAGTGGTACAAAAGGTAATACATGTGAGGGATGAGCTGATGGAAGAAGGGATGCATCCATACTGGTTTTTCAGTATCAAGCACGAGTACTGATATATTTTTTTCGGTACTCGCCGATACCAAATTCAAATACGGGAGGTCCCATTAAGGAAGCCACGTAGCATGTAATAACTCGCCGCCTTGCTTCCCGATTACATAGGAACCTGTCGCCATGCTCCCTCATCACCATTTGACAAGGAAGTATGGAGCCGGCTTTCTGGACAATTAGGAAGCTGGGGGTGGTAATGACTCGCCGCCTGGCTTCCTGATTGGCCAGCTTCCCGACCAATCAAGAAGCTGGGGGGCAGGTAATGACTCGCCCTCCGGCTTCCTGATTGGCCAGGAAGCCGACTCCATGCTCCTTCGTCACCAGGTGATGAGGGAGCATGGAGCCAGCTTTCTGGCCAATCAGGAAGCCAGAGGGCGAGTCATTACCTGACCCCGAACTTCTTGATTGGCCAGGAAGCCAACTCCAAGCTTCCTGGTGACAAGGAGCTGGCTTCCAGGCCAATCAGGAAGGTGGGCAGCGTGTAATTACTCGCCGCCTGGCTTCCTGATACCGGAAGTTCCAGAATCGGGATAGGCATCAGGAGCATATGGGCGAGTACGAGTAAATACTCGGTATCTGCACCGATACCGATACGAGTATTCCAGAGAATGGGAGAAAGTATCACCCACTTATCAAAGAGATATAACAAAACACTGTCAAAGGTATACTAACAGATTGAAAGGTAGAAAGAGAAGTTCCTTTTTGGGGTTTTACATACCTTTTAACTTGTTTCACTGGCCATTATGACAGCTGTGACCTAAAATAAGGACAATTGTAGGTCAATCTTATTGCATGAAATAATACAATAAAGTGATGTTAGGAATTTGAGGAAGGGAAATATTGAAAAGAGTTCAAAAGATTTTTTTAAGATTTCCTTTAATGGCTAATTGATATTTTTGTTCACAGGAAGATACTGATGAAGAGATTGAAGCAGAATATAACATACTGAAGGCTCTGTCTGATCACCCAAATGTTGTCAAGTTCTTTGGAATGTATTTTAAGAAAGACATAAAAACTGGGGATCAGTTGTGGCTGGTTTTGGAGGTTAGTATCGGACACAAATTTTGTTATTTCTAACTTTATCACACTAAACACAAACCCTAAAGCCATCTGGGAATACAGAACTGCTAGTTTGATGGAGGCCTGGGGCATTGCCCAGCATAGGCCACAGCTCCCTGTCTGTCACCTGTTGAAATAAGGTAGGGGTAGGCAACCGTGGCACTCCAGCTATGGTAAAATTACCAGTCCCATCATGCCTATGTTTGACTATGTTATGCTTGTGGCTGTCACACCCTTGCAACGCCTCACGGGACAACAGCTGGAGTGCAAAGGTTGCCTAGGTCTCTAGTTTGGGGTATACCATGAATCGGGGGGTATGTGGGATGACCTTAGGCTGGGTTCACACCATTTTCCGGACCAGATCTGGACCAGATCTGCAACATAGTGCATTGCATTTTTGCTGCAACTTTGCCGAGATTTTGCCCCGATTGGAATAAAAAATAAATTATATAATATATTTATAGCATAAAATGGTCTTACAGGTGCGTTCCACTGCGTTACATGCATTTTTGATGCGTTTTGATGCCTTCCAGTGCATTCCAGACTAGACAAAATAGGACAAGCAGTATTTTTCTGGTCTGGTCCGGAACGGACTGCGCTGGTGGGAACAGAGGCCAGAAATACCATAGCTATTTTGGGTCTGGAAACAGTCTGGTCTGGAGGTAATCTGGATGTGGTGTGAATGGTCCTTTAGGCAAGCAGTGGGCTGACTTTTGGGAGGAGTTATGTAAATATCAAAACACCTTGATGGGTGAATGTCAGTCTAGAGAAGTGGGCATTCCTAAGCTGGCTTCACCTGCATACAGACTGTTCTAGGTAATGTCCACATGTGAGGCTGAGCCTCCATAATTGAAAGACATGAAATTCAATGAATGCAGGATGTCCCCCAGCCAGTAAATGAGGTGGGCTCCATCTGACTTGCTGCATTTTCTAATGCATGCTGTGGGAAGCTCACAGTGTGCAGTGAAACCAGACTAAGCATTTTCAGTATAGTAGGGGAGCCTGTGCAACTGTGCCAGACTGAAGGCATGGACAGAGTTCAGTTTTTAATACATATCTGCATACAAGGATGTAACCTGGCCTTATGTATACTTCACCGTTATCCATTCACCACTACTTCCTAAACCACTATAGGTTCCATTACCTCTTGTTTGTCCCCCCTTACTTCAATTAAATCAGGTTATGGTAAAGATCAGCCTTTTATTCAAGAGGGAGTGCTGGTGACTGTTGTGTTTTTGGACACATATCTTGTATTTGTACTTGTATTCTTATTTTTGTTTATATTTCTGTATTATTTACTCTTACTGGCAACAGTTAATGTGTGCATTGTCACTGGAGATCATGATGGTGTTATAGAAATCAATAATAATTTTTGATTGCTCTCTTGCAGTTGTGCAATGGTGGATCTGTCACTGATTTGGCCAAAGGGCTCCTGAAAAGAGGTGAAAGAATGAATGAAACCATCATTGCATACATCCTACACGAAGCTCTTATGGTGAGACTCTGCTCATGGGGTAAATTTCTCCCCTGTTTATGCCTCTTCCCACTCCTACTTGGTATTGTGATTTGGTTGTATTCAGTAGGTTTCCAATAAACCCCATTGTGACGTCCTCAATGTGCATTCTTCTTATAATTGATTTTTCATATAAAACCATATTAGAATCAGATCATTTGTGCCTTTGCTAGCATTATAGCTACAATATTATTCCTCCACAATGTCAGCTCCGTAGTATAAAAAAGGTGAGCCTATTTACTGTACCTAATATATGATATACACGGGTAGATTTATGAAGGAACGTTCATCCGAAAAATCCTGTTGGAACGTTCGATATTGCCATCAGAGACTTGGCGATTGTCTTTCGAAATTTCGTTTGATTTTCATGTTCATGTAACATTTGGTTTTGGAATTAATGGAGTTTCCTGAACGAAAACTACATTCACTGTTAGAAATTGATCACATCGAGAAACATTTACCGCGTGCTCCTTCAAATTGTTTCATCACTGCGGTCGAAATCGATCATTGATTTGACCCCATCAGCTATTGAATGAATGTTCCAAAATCGATTTTGTTTGTTCTAAACTCTAAACGTTCATACCCTACTTTAGCTAGTAGTAGTTAATTACATTCAATGAAATAAAAAAATGTTTCAGATGGAATCAGGCTTTTGCTCTTTTATTGCCACTAAAATATTATGCCGCAGGAATAATGGGCTCCAGTAGGAGCCTGAGATGTCAATGGCGCCATTCATGATGCCCATTTTTTGATCTCCCCTGTTATCAAGAAACCTACAAAGGCTGAGCTTGGAGCACTTACGGAATATCAGAGTTGTCAGTTGACGGCCACTCTGGCCAGGAATATACCAAAATAAGAATAGTGGGTACCCGTTCAGCTTAAACTGGACTTGTTCTGTAATGTTGAGGACCGGTTGTTTGCGCTGCACAGCTTCCTTAACTCTAATGAGTGTCAGTAACATACCCAAGCATTTATTTGCATATAAGTAAGGGTGCCCACACACCTTACGATAATGGTACGATAATCGCCGGAAATCCCGCGATCGTACGATTATCGTAAGGTGTGTGGAAGCCGTGCGACCTCTACTACTGTAAGGTTGCACGACTTTTAACTTACAAACATGTTCGAAAACCCGCCGGGCATCGTACGATGTTCGGCGGGTGTGTAGCATGTTCGTAAGATAAAAGCCGGACGGGCCGTAAGATAAAAGCCGGACGGGCCCTCAGGGGGCGCGGCTTGCGATCATCGCAAGTACGATCTGCCTGTCCAAGATAGGCAGATCATATTTTTTTTAAGTACCTTACAACCATCGCAAGACAAAAGTCTTGCGATGGTTGTAAGGTGTGTGCCCAGCATAACTCAGTCACCTTATCCAATTAACATGGAATGTGTCAAGACAATTGTTGATTGTCCAAGATGGGGGGTGGGAAAGTTTGTGAAACCACCCCGTTATTTTTACCTCTCTCACTTCACAAATATAGAACAAGTCTATGGAATGTTACCAACTACTGCCAGGTATACCATGACCTGGATACATGAGATCCTTCACAGACCCTTTATAGTACTTATTTACTGTATATCCGTATAAAGAAACTCTCATATTTAATAGCATATCCTATTCTGGTCTCCGAATCAAAGAAACTATGCCCTGGATTCAAAAATGAAAGCCATGTTATCTTTTGTGCTGCACTTATTCAGTGAATTTCTTAAGGATAAGTGCACTTTAGGTAAGATCCCTCAAACACATTGGGCCTGGTCTCAGCAGAATTACCCTCAATATCACCCCATACCTTAGTATTGTTTGCTTTGATGCTTGCCCAGAGCCTGTGCTACATTGACAGAACCATGACAGGGTCAGTCCGTCTTTAGCTGCATAGAGATATCCATAATTTCCTGTCCTCACAGAGCGTCTAACCTTTCTTTGGTCTTCCCAAAATTAAATATAAAATGTTTCAGTTGGAGTCAGGCTTTTGCTCTTTTAGTGCCACCAAAGTATTATGCCACAGGAGTAATTCATGATGACCATTCCTTAACCTTCCCTGTTATCAATAAACCTAGAAAGGCTGAGCTTGGAGCACTTACGGGATCAGAGCTGTCAGTTGCCGGCCACTCTGGCCAGGAATATAGCTAATTGAGAACAGTGGGTACTCATAAAGCAGAACTCCGGGCAGTTAAAAAATGAACCCTTGCAGTGAGGCTACCGCTGCACTGCAAGGGTTAACTGCACATTTTGGTCTAAGGCCTGAAAAAAAAGATATACTTACCCGATCCTCAATCCTGCCTGGCTGCTAGGCTGGTCCCTTGGGCTCCAGTGGTCTAAGCCCCACTGTCATCATCACGTGTAATACAAGTCCATTGACTTGCACTGGACATGAGGACGATGAGGGGCATAAGCATCACTTATGGGAAATGTGTATGTATATATGGTATTTATTTATTGGACTCAGTTTCATCTATCTATTTTCATTTATATTTTGCAGAAAATTTGGAGATTTTTTGTGTCTGTGTTAAGTAAAATTAAGTTACGCTAATTTCATGAAAGATAAAGTATTGCAGAAAATATATAAAATTTTGGACTTTATAAATGCAACAATAGAAATGTTTCTTTAAAATAAACAAATGTACATCTGCATGGTGCTATCATGAATGTTGAATTTAATCACTGACATCAGCATCTTGCAATTCTCTGCACAAAAAGACAGACAGGGGTAGCACTATGCACTGATCAGGCTGCTTTGAGCTGTACATTGATGTCAGCCTAACACAGTAGGAGAGAGCAGAGTGAGGACCTACTCAGTAAGCTGCTGCTCCTTCATTGTTCAATCACAGGCTTGGGAGGATTCTTGGCCAGACTATATTGAAGACTATATACTTCAATATAGTCTTCAAGGAGGTCACTGATCTGACAATCCTGGCAGAGATCACAATAGAACTGCAAATCCTCTGGCAGGTAAATCAGTTTATATACACTGCTTGGCCAAAAATAAAAGTCAATTCCTGGATTTCGCGCAGTATTGTGATCTGGGGTTAGTTCAGTTGGTCAGGTTCAGCAACCTAATTTCCCCAAAAATGGGTTCAGCTGTCTACCTGCATATACTGAATGACCAGGTTCTTCCATCAATGGATTTTATCTCCCCTGATGGCATATTGGGCATATTCCAAGTTGACAATGTCAGGATTCATTAGGAACAAATTGTGAAAGAGTGAATCAGGGAGCATGAGGCGACATTATCACACATGGATTGGCCACCACAACCAGACCTTAACCCCAATGAGAATCTTTGGGATGTGCTAGAAAAGACTTTACGCAGTGGTCCTACTCTCCCATCATCACTACAAGATCTTGGTGAAAAATGAATACAACTCTGGATGGAAATAAATTATGTGACATTGCTTAAGATTATCAAAATAATGAAATGGTGAATGTGTGCCGTAATCAAAGCTAAAGGCGGTCCAGCAGCGTATTAGAGCGTGTGACTTTTTGTTGGCCAGGCAGTGTGCATTTCATCTGTTTCTCGGGGGATAAGCCTGGGATGTCAGGTCCGGAATGGGCCATTCAGTGGAGGGGTTCTCATCTAAAACGCCACTTATCCTTTAAACAGAAAAAATTATACAAACATAAAAAACATTTTCTCTTCTGAATTAAATGAATGTTCTGCAGGGACTGCAACACTTGCACAGCCATAAGACAATTCACCGTGATGTTAAGGGAAACAATATTCTATTGACTACAGATGGAGGTGTCAAGCTGGTGGACTTTGGTATGGCAACTTTTTTTATATATACAATAATAGATTTACGATAGTAATTTCCTACTTAAAAATGCTAAGTAGATACAATAATGATTATAGAAGATAAAAACGACTTTCACCAGTTTTATTATTTGCAACCTGGGCACAGCTGTGGTGAAACTAAAAATTCCATGTATTTATAACCAATTCACAGAGTCATTCACCCCACAAGTATTTCTGTGTGAACAGACCCAAAAACAAACATTCTCAGATATATTTTATTTGCAGATCTAATGTATTGTGATGTAATGCTACAATATGGCCACTAGATGGAGCTGAGGAGCATAGAAAATAAATCCATATTTCCTTAGCTCCATCTAGTAGCCAAGATGCAGTATTACATTACATACATTTGACCTACAGAAAATAAATCTTAGAAGGTTTGTTTTTGCACCTTTTTACACAGAATAAATGTTGAAAAGCATTATAAATAGATCCTATAGTGTATACTTTGCTATTATTGCAGTGTTTAATTTTTTTATATGGCATTTTTACAGGTTTGCTCTTCCATATTTTTGTTATTGTATCAGATATACAGCTGTGTATATTAAACAGAGGATGCTCTTAGCGGCACTTTCACTGTGTCCCTCTCTGTTGAAGTAAGATATCAACCACATAAAAATGTACTTTAATCAAGGAGTCAGCTGATCTGTAGGACGTCTATTGTAAAATAAGGAGCAGCAATGCACAAGCATTTTATAGCGCTGCAAAAGCAGAATGCAGAGCCTAAGCATGTAATAAGGAAATGTGCCTTCCCCTCTGTACATACAGGATATCAAAGTACACATAGCAGTTTTATATAATAACAAATTACATAGTATAAGCAATTTTTAAAGCATATGAAACAATTAAATTATCGCAGCTCTGCATTCGTTGAGACATTGTTAAATGGAATTTTTAGTGCAAGCAATGTACGTACCTGAATTTGACTTGGTATCAGCCTCTTCTGGTCCCTGTAGAGCAGAGCTCAGAGTGGGAGAGGGACTGCCAGCCAGCCAGGCAGGGCTGAGCTCTTTGGCAGAGCTATGAAAAATCTCAGAACTGGATGTACAAAAATACAAATCTTTTGAGAGGTAAAACTGCTCCCATATATGTATTTCATCTGTTTATCTACCACTGGGGTGGACAAATCCCATCATGAGTCTGCCTCTGGGAGTCATGCCTGGGGCTGTCTTGCAATGCCTCATGGGACTTGTAGTTCCACAACAGCTGGCGGGCCTGAGTTGCCCACCCCTGATCTAGTGGTTTGCCTGAAGTTTAGGTTTAAATCAATGCAATATCTTATAAAGATGACCTCAAGCTGATTTCTTCTACATATAAAGTTAAAGCACTCTGCATACCCTTTGTACACTGCACTGTGACAGAGTAAGTGTTTAAACCTTAAAAACTGACCCTAATATTGGATATGTTTTAAATAATACAGGTGTATCAGCCCAACTGACAAACACCCGTCTCCATCGGAACACGTCTGTAGGAACACCATTCTGGATGGCACCAGAGGTTGTCTTTTTTTTTTGTTATGTTTCAATATGGACCCAAATAATCCAGTTTACTTGCCGGTTTTATAGGTTAAAGTTAAACTCCGGACACAAAAACATTAATATAAATAGCCAATAGCCACAAAGGTTATAAATCCACACTGTGTGCACCAAATGCCTTTGCAACCCCAGTTATTTCCTTGTAAAACCAGCAGTGACATCATCACTGTGCTGTACATAGTCTGTGCAGAGAGCAGAGCTGTGGGAGGGGCCCAACAGGGGGAGGGCGGAGACAAGACCAGTCACCCTGCACAAGAAGAGAGAGAGCAGTGACCGGTCTGTATTACAGGAAGCTCCAAGTTTTACACAGGATTTTAGCAGTTTTACAGCAACGGGTGTGAACAACTCCCTAATTTCAGAAAGAGGAACTGAACAGAGAATCCACAAATACTGTCTGGAAGAAATACACAAAGCTTGCCAAGATTCCAGGAAGAATACACATGGATCTTGTATGAGGACAATATTTACGTATCCCGGAATTCAGCTTTAGAGGGAAACTATAGTGTATTTCAGTGAGCACACATTTTATTGATGTAATTCATAAAGTAATTTGTGACTTTCATGTTTTTAATCCATTGCTGTTATATGACTGCGTATTTGTGGATTCTCTGTTCAGTTCCTCTTTCTGAAATCAGGGAGTTGTTCGCACTCGCTGCTATAAAACTGCTTAAATAAGCTAAATTAAAGTAGTATTTAACTCTCAAACTTTTTTCAGTAATGAATCCAGATCAAACAAATATATATTTCCTGGCAGAGTATTTCTTTATATTTTTGCTCAAGCAATTAGAGCCATCATGTTTCCAAATGGCTGGCTGCAACTCACTCAGCTCAGCTTCCCTAAACTTCCTGTCCCATAGTAGATCACAAGGAACAGAGCAGTCTCCAGCAGCCGTCCACCTATTAGGTTGGAAAGAGGAAGGAAGGAGTAAGGAGGAGCAGGGAGAAGGGGTTATCACTTGCCTTGCTGTGTTTGTGTGTTTGAGGATAGTCCATAATAGAAGTCACCTGTCGCCCAGAAGGAGGGATCCTGCCTGGCCCCGAAACGTTGGCTGTATGACGTATGTGACAATTTAATAAAAAGTGCTTATACTTCTTGCACATATCATGGAGTGCTGGTGACTTCTATTATGGACTTTATCTGAAACGGCGAAATCCGTTTTGTCACTTCAAGCACCAACTTTCCGTTAAGGTCTGTATGCTGTACGGAGTGCAGGTGATTTTGTGTTATTGTGTGTTTGTGGAGACACACACAGCTTACTAACATACTCCCTGCAAGAGAAAGGAGCCACCCTACGCACGATAGTAGAACCAGTGCTTAAGGGACCAGCTGATTCTGCAGGAAACTAAGGGGCCTATTCACGAAGCAGCCAAAGGATCTAGCCGTAGCTTCGGCTGATCCTTCGGCTAGCTTCGGCCCCAGGACCGCTGCGGTTTAGTAGAACCGAAGGGCTGCTGTACGGGCTGTAACCAGGGACGCTGATCTCTCTGCCATTGGCCGGCTGACAGCCTGCTTCTGACATCTCACGGCTGGCTCCGGCCACTTACAGAGAGATCAGCGTCCCCCACAGAGGGACCGAGCAGAACAGCCAAGCTGAATGCCGCTGAGCGGCATTCGGCTATTCACTCACTGCTATTCGGCATAAGAATAGACCGAACAGCAGCGAGTAGCCTGCTGTACAGCAGCGAGTAGCCTGCCTGAGGTTTGGCTCAGCCGATCTAGATGTTGGATCAGCTGAGTTGAACTCCTTCTGCACTTCGGGTCGGCCGAACATGCTGAGCATGTTCGGCCGACCCGAAGCCACCCGATGTAGGCTGATTTCAGCCGATATACGTCTGAAATCAGCCGTACCAGCCTGAAGTGAATAGCCGAACAGCTTCAGGTTGGTCGTTCACTCGGCTGCCTACGGCAGCTTAGTGAATAGACCCCTAAAATTTTAGACATCAAGAAGCAGCATTTATTCATCAACATTTGAAATTTAAAAACAATTTGACTTTAATATTACTTTAGGAACAAAAAATGTTCTTCGTTTTCATCCGATCTGAGCAGACTGATAGACATGAATGGAGAGAGAGTAACATCACTACACTTGTAGTCCATTCATTCTTCCTCCTGTTCATGTCACTGAATGTCTATACCAAGCTACAGACATGGAGAGGAGGAAGAGTCTGCAGGAGCCAGAGCATTGCATCTACGATCCACTGATTGTGGCCACAATGCTTTACTGGTTCCAATGAAAACAATGATAAATGCAAATTTTTTTCTTTTATGAAGAAGTGTGCAACTATTGTTATTATTATTACTATCATTTTTTTTTTAAAGGTGGACTTTGCCTTTAAGTATTAATTGTAAAGCATTTATTGATGTGTCTAAGAAAATCCCACGTAATACTTTTCCATATTTGCCTTGTTTTTCTAGGTGATTGCATGTGAGCAGCAAGTAGATGCAACATATGATGCACGCTGTGATGTCTGGTCTTTAGGAATTACAGCCATAGAGCTTAGTGATGGTGATCCTCCATTGGCTGACTTGCATCCAATGAGAGCTCTTTTTAAAATTCCTAGGTATTTACAGTATTTTTAATATTGGTTATTAATACCTGTGTTATTAGTACCTGCTTAGAGAACAGCATTAAGGACAGCTATGGTTAAAAATAATCTACCGTAATGGCAAAAAAATACCAATTGCCTGGCTTTAATACTGAATTTCTGAGCTGGAATGACCATGCAGCAACTAAAGTTAGGCTGAGGACTCAAACGGGCTGGTTAACTAAAGGTTGTTCACCTTGCAATGGAATTTTCACTTAGCTTAGTGAATGTGGTGAAGATTTCCTTCGCAAAGAATAGCCAACTTGACTAATATGTGAAAATAATTCCGTTATAGTTTGTCTATTGTGAAATATATTTTGCATAATGAATACAAAGATTTTCACTTAATTATTTTCTCCTATCTATCCTGAACACAGGGACCCCAAATATGCGTAGGTCTACTCT